CCATGCGCAGATTGCGTGGCAGGCACAGCACTTTGTGAACCTCCATGTGCAGATTTCGTGGCAGGCACAGCACTTTGTGAACCTCCATGCGCAGATTTCGTGGCAGGCACAGCACTTTGTGAACCTCCATGCGTCGTGGCAGGCACGGCACTTTGTGAACCTCCATGCGCAGATTTCGTAGCAGGCACAGCACTTTGTGAACCTCCATGCGCAGATTTCGTGGCAGGCGCAGCACTTTGTGAACCTCCATGCGCAGATTTCGTGGCAGGCGCAGCAAAGCCTTTGCGCCTTATTCTCCTGAGTCGCCGTCACGTCGAGTGCTACCCTCTTGGACGCAGCTATCTCCAACTACGGTGGCAAGAACTGGACGTTGGCCACGCTGGATTCCCCAGCCTGTGGCATGAAGCAGGCAGCTTCTATGGATGATGCCATTTCTTTGACCACGTTCCTCCGAGAAGCGCGCCGGCCTTTGGATGGCACAAGCAGGTGACTCTCCGGGGCACGCGCAGCACTTTGTGAACCTCCATGCGCAGATTTCGTGGCAGGCACAGCACTGCGTGAACCTCCATGCGCAGATTTCGTGGCGGGCACAGCGCGTGTGAACCTGGAGGTGCAGATTTCGTGGCAGGCACAGCACTTTGTGAACCTCCATGCGCAGATTTCGTGGCAGGCGCGGCACTTTGTGAACCTCCATGCGCAGATTTCGTGGCAGGCACAGCACTTTGTGAACCTCCATGCGCAGATTTCGTGGCAGGCACAGCACTTTGTGAACCTCGAGGCGCAGATTTCGTGGCAGGCACCGCACTTTGTGAACCTTCGTGTGCAAATTTTTGTGGCAGGCACAGCATCTGTGGAGCTGGAAGCTGAGAACTGGCGACTTTGTAGTACAACTTTAGTACGCGGAGTATCTGGAAGATGAGAACTGGCGACTTTGTAGTACAACTTTAGTGCGCGGAGACATCCGTGGAGCTGGAAACTGAGAACTTGCGACTTTGTAGTGCAACTTTAGTACCAGAGTATCTGCGGAGCTGGAAGATGAGAACTGGCGACTTTCTAGTACAACTTTAGTACGCGGAGGAATCTGTGGAGCTGGAAGCTGAGAACTGGTGACTTTGTAGTACAACTTTAGTCGGCGGAGTAGGCTGGGGAGCTGGAGGCTGAGAACTGGCGACTTTCTAGTACAACCTTAGTACGCAGAGTTGTCTGAGGAGCTGGAAGATGAGAACTGGCGCCTTTCTAGTACAACTTGAGTACGCGGAGCAATCTGTAGAGCTGGAAGCTGAGGACTGGTGAATTTGTAGTACAACTTTAGTACGCGGAGTATCTGGGGAGCTGGAAGATAAGAACTGGCGACTTTCTAGTACAAATTTAGTACGCGGAGTATCTGTGGAGCTGGCAGATGAGAACTGGCGACTTTGTAGTACAACTTTAGTACGCGGAGCAATCTGTGGAGCTGGAAGATGAGAACTGGCGACCTTGTAGTACAACTTTAGTGCGCGGAGTATCTGCGGAGTTGGAAGATGAGAACTGGCGACTTTCTAGTACAACTTTAGTACGCGGAGTACCGGGGAGCTGGAAGATGAGAACTGGCGACTTTGTAGTACAACTTCAGTACGTGGAGCAATCTGTGGAGCTGGAAGATGAGAACTGGCGACTTGGTAGTGCAACTTTAGTACGCGGAGCAATCTGTGGAGCTGGAAGCTGAGAACTGGTGAATTTGTAGTACAACTTTAGTACGCGGAGTATCTGGGGAGCTGGAAGATGAGAACTGGCAACTTTGTAGTACAACTTTAGTACGCGGAGTATCTGGGGAGCTGGAAGATGAGAACTGGCGACTTTGTAGTACAACTTTAGTACGCGGAGCAATCTGTGGAGCTGGAAGCTGAGAACTGGCGACTTGGTAGTACAACTTTAGTACGCGGAGCAATCTGTGGAGCTGGAAGCTGAGGACTGGTGAATTTGTAGTACAACTTTAGTACGCGGAGTATCTGGGGAGCTGGAAGATAAGAACTGGCGACTTTCTAGTACAAATTTAGTACGCGGAGTATCTGGGAGCTGGAAGATGAGAACTGGCGACTTTGTACTACAACTTTAGTACGCGGAGTATCTGGGGAGCTGGCAGATGAGAACTGGCGACTTTGTAGTACAACTTTAGTACGCGGAGCAATCTGTGGAGCTGGAAGCTGAGAACTGGCGACTTGGTAGTGCAACTTTAGTACGCGGAGCAATCTGGTGAATTTGTAGTACAACTTTAGTACGCGGAGTATCTGTGGAGCTGGAAGATGAGAACTGCCGACTTTGTAGTACAACTTTAGTACGCGGGGCAATCTGTGGAGCTGGAAGCTGAGCACTGGCGACTTTGTACTACAACTTTAGTGCGCGAGTATCTGGGGAGCTGGAAGATGAGAACTGGCGACTTTGTAGTACAACTTTAGTACGCGGGGCAATCTGTGGAGCTGGAAGCTGAGAACTGGCGACTTTCTAGTACAACTTTAGTACGCGGAGTACCGGGGAGCTGGAAGATGAGAACTGGCGACTTTGTACTACAACTTTAGTACGCGGAGTAGCTGGGGAGCTGGAAGCTGAGAACTGGCGACTTTGTAGTACAACTTTAGTACGCGGAGTAGCTGGGGAGCTGGAAGATGAGAACTGGCGACTTTGCAGTATAACTTTAGTACGCGGCTGAGTCATCTCTATTCTTTATTTTGCAAAATGCATGAACAACGTTTTTTTTCTGCGAGACAGTTGACGGTGGTTGCTTCGCTTTCGCTCCATTGGTCGGTTCCAACTTGTTTTGTCAAAGAACATCGCAGCTCGGCGAATCAGCCTGCCACATGCCCATTTCCTATAGGTTTATTCTTTTGGAAACTTCCGCTGCCGGCTTGCCCGGGAACTACTTGTACGTATACATAATCTGTATATACAAACATTATGCATATGTATAAGAGGTGTTCGGTGGTACCCTCATTCAGATTCACATCAAACACCTCAATTTCCTCTCAGATCCTCTCAGTGCGTTTGCTCCAGCCTCAGGCACGATAAGCCTCACTGCCGACACACGGCCCAGGAAGAGCTTGTCATTGTGCTGCGAGGCGAGAACAAATGCTTGGCAAACAGGAATGAGGAAGAAAAACGTATTCTGCAAGTCAAACTGACATCCTGTTCAGTTCCGTGTACAATTGTAAATTAAACAAGTAATCCCCTGTGCACCAAGCCTTTCCTCGTCCCACTTCCCAAAGTGCTCTCCTTTTGGCCTCCCCATGGCCATCTGGATCTAGCAGTGATCCTGCACCCTTCCAGTGCAGACCACTAGAAACGAGCCGAACCCAATGCACACTGAATTACGAAGCACTGTATTGCTTCGCATGGTGCTCGATGCTTCCAGTTGCTGTTGGCAAAAAAAGAGGTCAATCCGACTTCGAAATATATAGAACTAGTAACTAGAACCCTAAATGCGTCACAAGTGGACAACTGGAAGCAAAGAGGCGAGACGACAAAACAACTAAGTAGGCACCTTTCAACTCAGACTAGAGCTGCGCTGCAATGAGGTCTTAGCAGAGGTCCGGGGTCATATAAACATTCCAGGCAAATCCGCAACTCATTGCTCCTGTTTTGCTTGCTTCACAGAGGTTCTTATATATATATAGTTGTTGTCAATCTATCTCTCAGCCTCTCAGCTGTTTTACTTGGGGACAACCACCTTGCTTCCGGAAAAGGATGCAAACAGGACTGGCGCTCCGAATCGCCGCTACTTACATTTGACAAACAATGGGCTCTGAAGGCATGGCTCAAACAAACAGTCACTTCTGCGCCGGGCACCCCATCCTTGCATCAGCTTGAGCGGAAGGGCAGCCGGCGCCGTTTTGGAGAGCCTTCGGGTGCGACGGTTTTTCCAATGGTTTACCGGTTCTTCTCCCGTCTGAAACATCCAAATCTCCGAGCACCCATTCACAGATAGGGTGTTTTCGGATATTTGGACTCAAGCTCGGTCAAGGAGCCAGCTTCCGGTGGGCTTCGAGGTCGAGGAACACCTCCCGATTCAGTCGACATGAGGGATGTCAAACATGCATGCAAAACAACTGTTCGACACTGCTCCCTCGAAAGACATGGAAAATTTGGTACGAGCTTGCTTGGTCAGTCTCCCGCTCACATACAGCATCATACAGCTATCAATCATTTCTGAGGTTGGGTGAGCTTAGTAAGATTGGCTTGCAACGGGACCTATCACACTTCAGGATGCATGAGAATGCATATGTATGGCCTAGCATTTTGGGCCCCAATGAACTGACGAATCAACTTGGTTCATGACGGCACCAGGAGATCGCCTCGAAGTTGCCGCGCAGTCATGAACGCAGGGCCCTGGAGGCTTCCACCTGAGCAACAAACTCTCCGGCCAAGGGTTTTAGCGAGGCGGCGTGTGGATGCGTGTGGGATACTGAAGGTTGAAACACACTGGGCGGCCGCCGGCCGCTTCCCTGGATTCGATCATTGTGGCCACGGTTCGCAGGAGTTTGCCACTGGCCGTGCTGGTGCGCAGGCGTTCCGGGGAATTTTGAAGCTGAGCCCTTGCTGGGGAGCAGCCTCCGTTACTTGAGAATTACTTGAGTGGGCTTTTTACTTTCCCGAGACCTCTCCACCGAGCGCAGGGCTTGAGATTTACATCTCCCATTCCTCTATCACTACATTGTTTTGGTGTAAGATGCGCTCGTCCACGCAGAAGTGTGGGCCCCACTTGCGGTTGGCGGCACCAGGGTGATTGCCCATTCAAGAACTCGCCAGCCTGTGCCGAAGGCTTTGGAGGCCACCTGAAAGCCCGGCAGGTCAGCAGGGCGCACGCGCTCTCGGCGAGACCTTGGGGCTTCGTTTTCGCCAAGTGTGAGTTTCTAGCTAGTTTCCTCTGGCTATTGCATTTTGACTCGAGAATGGCTGAAGGTGACAAGTGTCCGATTTGGGCCCATGTGACTCTGTTCGACCCCTTGAAATGGTACGTTTTTCAGGGGTCCAACACATGCAAATTCTTATTTCCCATATACTTATCCTTGCTTGTCGTCTCTAGGTCATCATGCATATTGTATAGTTTATTGTAGCCACTCTAATGTTCGACCCCCTTGAAATTGTAAATTTAAGGGATCCAACGCATATCCAGCAAGGCAACTATCTTATTTCTCACATTCTTCTCTTGCCTGGTACTAGTCATCTCTAGGCGGAAGAACAAAGCGATGACAGTAAACCATGCCATATGCATGACCGATATAAGACCTAGAGGTGAGCGGTGCTAAATTTGCAGGCATTGTTGGATACGAGTTGGACCCCTGAAAAAGTGTACAAGTTCAAGGGAGTCCAAAAATAGTGTGAACAAAAATACAGTACACATTACGTTACAATATGGTTATATACAATAAACTATATATATGATATATGCAATAAACATCTAAAGTCCTGATAATCTGGGGGGTGTTGGGAATTACCTTTCCAAACGCGTGCGCGCTCTCTCTCTCTCTCTCTCTCTATAGAAGCAAACGGTGCGGGTGGTTGTCGTCGGGAAGCGACCCAAATATATCCAAAGTAATAAGTGCCTGGTAGGAAGTATGAGAATAGATTTGTTCTCCTGGTAGGAAGTATGAGAATAGATTTGTTCTCCGGCGCAATGTCCCTTCATCAATTGCCTAAAACATGCTGTACTCATTTGAACCAAGTCAAAAACACGACTCCTTGGTTGTGCACTTCTTGGTGCTGCTGTTGCTCCTCCGTTCGCCCTGCAGCTGGAGGGCGCGGTCGCCGTCATGCCGCCTGAGTGGGGCGGAAGCAGCCCTTGCAGTGAAACATGGGCGAACGCAGCGCAGCGGTCGCAGCAGTGGCTCGGCAAGCGTTGGGTCGCCTGCAGTCGAAGGTGGGAAGATGAAGTGGCCAAGATGGATAAGCCCAAAAGTACAGTAGAAGGAAAGTAGCTGAAGCCGATATGAGATTTACATGGATGAAGATGGAACCTCTATCTCTTCATCAGTAGCCCTTCAATCTGTTCCTTAAGAGTAAAACACAATAAGCTTGATTAATTCTGTGAAATGTGTTGGAAGCTGCCCAGCACAGCTCATAGGAAAACAACGACAACCATCAGCTGTTCACCAAGGCATATTCCTTTGGTCAAGCCAGGAGACAGGAGGCTTGTCGGCACTGGGATCACCAAAATGTCTCAGCAGCAGGCTGCGGCGGCATTCCTCTGTGTTTGAGCAAAACGCTTCCACCTTAGCGCACTCGATTTGGCTCAAAGTCACACGTGGTTCTGTCTTCAAGCTCCTGAAATGTTCGTGAAGTGGAAGGCCTAAGGCTGGTTGGCTGAATCAACGGACATCAACAGTGCGTTGCATGAGGCACAACGTACACAACTAGCTTGTCCAACAGCAACAGCATAGCATAGTTGTATCGCAACTGAGGATCGGATAGACGCTGACTTGCTCCCCAAAAGGGCCAGTCAAAATCTCATCCAAGTGACAGCGTCCAATTCCTGCAACGCTATGTCAGTCGTTGCACTATGTCCTCGTGAAGATATAATGAGTTGCCTCAGGCGCATGAGCATGGAAACTCGTCGATCGTCGGCTGAGCCTTCAAGAGTTCCCGACGATGGGATGGCAAACTCGTCGAGTTCCGTCGGGAATGCTCAGCAAATCATGTGCAGTTGAGAGGCTTTGCACCCGAAAAGTCCCTCTCTGTGAAGAACATCACGCAAAGCGCAGGCTCTCCATCCCTTCCGGCTCTTCCACTTTCCTTGGCAATGTTCTTTTTGTGAGATTGAAGGGTTCAGCGTGCATTTTGTGAGCGTTCTGCGGGCCCAGCTCTTTCGCCAAGTCTCTTGGTAGTAAGCACTGAGTGACTTTGGCGGCGCAGCATGGAAGACAAAGCGAACATCAGCTTTGTCCACTCCCATGCCAAAAGCGATGGTGGCCACCAGCACTCTTGCTCTTTCAGTTGGGAATGGCTGCAGCGCTTTCTCGGCACTATCCTTCACACTCTTTGGGTGTTTGGCACCCTTTGGGTTCCTGGGCCATTGCATCGCCAGTCGGGCGAAAGCTGAAGCTGTTTGTGTGAGAATTGGTAGAGTGCAGACATCACTAAACAGTCGGCAAACTGATGTTACATGTCTCACCTTTACAATGGGATTGAGGCTTCTGATAAGAACCCCCCTTTTTGGAGTTCCCCAAAATTCAAAACTCCCTTGGAATCCAGTGAATCCAGAGACCCTGGTAGCCATTTTGCCAAGCTCCTGCTGCTCTTCTCAAGGGGCTTCCCAATAAAGGCCTCGAAGGCAGCCCTCTTCTTGTTTTTGCAAAGTCCAGCGTGGAACGGCATGGCAGAGACCCCACGCTCCTGCACATGTAGCACAGGGACAAGAAGGTTTGCCATCCACCAAAGAGCTCGGCCTATAAACGATCTGCGAGACACTTCCGCCTTTTGACTTCTATAGTATCAAACTTCTGTGAGAGAAGGAAAAATAGAGACTGACTGATCCTAAAGGAACCAAGTGGAACTTGACAGGCCCACGAAACGATGCGATCGGAGGAGGCCGCGAAGCACGCTGCCGAAACACGAACGTCCACAAGAAGAGTATTTAGTCCTATAGAATCTGGTCTCCTGCAGCAGCTCTGCAATGTTTTCCTTGGGAACGTTGGGGCATGGGGGTGCAGGCGCACAAAACAGTCTGCATCATTCTGCCATCGCAGCTCTAGACAACAAGGCAAACAACCAAATGTGAAAATTCCAACCACAAAAGCAGAAACGTCCTGGGGCCGCCCCCGGCGGACACCGAACGCCACCGTCACCATTTCCCCCGTGTCCGGGCTTCACAGTCGCTCTTTCGCTGGCAGTAGATGATCCCACAGCTCTCTGGAGGCTGTGCTGTCGTGAGGTCAATCAATTCCTGGTGAACAAAGTCGCAGAGAGGTGAACAAAGTCGAAGCTGTAGATGAGGCACTTTTCGAGAGGTGCTTCAAGCTTTGCAGATCGAACCTGTCGAAAATGATATGCGGCAAAGATACTGTGTAGGTGCCCCCAAAATCGCGGTCTTCTCTCCTGGTGAGCTGACAGGAAAGC